ATGCTCATTCCAGAATTATCTAGGGTAGTGATATATGAGCTTAGCAAGAATTGGGTAATATATGTTTCAGGGGTAGGTTTAGTGGCTGAAAGAGCATAGTATAATGGATGGTTGCGAAGGATTTCAATGAGAGGATAGGTGAATTCAGGAAAACCACATGAAGAAGGAGCAAAATAATAGTTATTGGGTTTCTTAACCAGTACCACTTTCTCGTATCTATTTTGGAAAAATGAAAGGGCATGAGAAGTTAGTGCCAGTGATTGGGTTACTTCGTTGTCGCTTGAGACATTTACAGATTGAGCGGAGGCGGAAGAACTTGACGACATTGTTGCAGGTATAAGAAAGCTTGAAATTTTGCAGGTTTGATCGGAAAGCTTGAGGTTCGTCGGAGTAAGGATAAATGTAAAGGTTTACGTTTTTGGGGGGAAGGGGTATTTATACTAAGGGATTTGAAAGCGAACCGTTTATTGGGAGAAATAACGTGATGAGTGGCTATAGGGAGTGACGAATCAAAAATATGACACGCGATGTTGGGAAGACGCACGATTGATGACGTGCGCCCCCGTTTCTGACACGCGCGTGATTTGCTTTAACCCTTATCCACAGAACCACGCGCACCATATCATTAATAGAGAACTATAAGAGAGTTCTGTCAGAGGCCTAAGGGTAACAGAGCCTCTGTGATATGTGCGGGGTCTTCTAGCATGTTACACCTTTATTTACCTAAACGGTTTGAAAATCCTCAGAGAGATGAGTACTTGCTCAGTTCAAACCCACAGAGCCTCTGATAGAAGCGTCAGACGTTCTGATGAGTTGACCTCTGAGAACAAAATACTTCAAAAATTTTGGCACCTTCTGAGGTTTTGATTTTCAATTCAAAACTCCCCCTATGAGYCAGCTTCCATGGCTCCCCCTCGAACTAAAAACCATTTAAAATCCTAAGAAGAAGTATCGACAGAGAATCCGTTCAAAGAGCCTCTGAGAGCTATCACAAAGGATCTGTGAAAAGACTTCTGTGATGAAAGACGTTTTGCTTCTTCAAAAGGTTTTATTCTTTTTAAGCACATACTCCCCCTCAAACCTTGCAAGTCTCTGCAAGATAAACCTGTTAACTATGAAAACAAGTGAAGGTTAATCAAGAAATAAAACTATATACAAATTGAAATTTAAAAGTAAAACTATATACACAAAGAGATTACTTAAAGAAAAACTTTATACAACAAAGAATAAACAATAAGGCATTCAACATCTAGAACTCTGGACATGCCATTCCTATTTTCTCAACAAGGAARTTAAACCTTTTCTCATCAAGGGCTTTTGTAAAGAGATCAGCCAATTGAAATTCAGATTTTACAAAGTATAATTCGATATTACCTTCTTCTACATGATGTTTTAAAAAGTGGTACCTTATGTCGATATGCTTTGTTTTTGAATGTTGCAAAGGATTGGCTGATATAGCAATAGCGCTCTTAAAATCACAGAGGATGGGATCTTGCTGACAGAGTAGCCTTAATCGCGTAGTTGAGTCTGCATCCACAGAGCTTGTGAGCAACAACTTGCAGCGGCTACATATTCAGCCTCTGCCGTGGAAGTTGATACGCAGTTCTGCTTCTTTGGAGACCAACTAACCAGCTTTCCTCCAAGAAACTGACAGCTTCCAGAGGTGCTCTTTTTGTCAATTTGACAACCACCATAGTCTGAGTCTATGTAAGCCACAAGATCAATGTTGGAATGCAGAGGATACCAAAGTCCCAGAGTTGGTGTCTTCTTTAAATATCTAAGGATTCTCTTTACTGCACTAAGATGAGATTCTTTGGGGTTTGCCTGATACCTAGCATAAATACACGTTGAAAACATGATATCAGGCCTACTAGCAGTAAGATATAAGAGAGATCCAATCATACCTCTGTAGAGTTTGCACTCTATAGAAGTGCCATTAATATCCTTATGAAGTTTTTGGCCAGGAGCCATGGGTGTCCTCATGGGAGAGGCATCATTCATCTTGTACTTCTTCAACAGKTCATGAACATATTTAGATTGGTTGATGAAAATTCCTTCGGAGGATTGCTTCACTTGTAGACCTAAGAAGAAAGTGAGCTCTCCCATCATGCTCATCTCAAATTCACTCTGCATCAAAAATTCAAACTCTTTGTACATAGAAACGTTAGTTGAACCAAAGATTATGTCATCAACATATATTTGTACAAGCAAAATATCATCATTCTGTTTCTTATAAAACAAAGTAATGTCTGTTGTACCTCTGTGAAAACCATTGGTAGTAAGAAAGATGGACAAGCGTTCATACCATGCTTTGGGAGCCTGTTTGAGACCATACAGAGCTTTGTCTAAGAAATAGACGTGGTTTGGATACTTCTCACTTTCAAACTCTCGAGGTTGCTTGACATAAACTTCTTCTTTGAGTTTGCCGTTCAAGAAGGCTGACTTCACATCCATTTGGAACACTTTAAACCCTCTGTGAGCAGCATACGCTAGAAAGATGCGGATTGCTTCTAGTCTAGCCACAGGGGCAAAGGTTTCTTAATAGTCGATGCCCTCTTCCTGGCAATATCCGTTGGCAACTAATCTGGCCTTGTTCCTCACCACCACACCTTGTTCATCCTGGCAATATCCGTTGGCAAATGAAAGGGCATGAGAAGTTAGTGCCAGGGTTGATGTTAGGAATGAAATTCTGCGTAAAATTGTATTCGTCTTGAAAGATAAAAGTGTCTATAATTGTGTAAAAGTTATCGTATTTGACTTTTCTTTAAGATAGTTTGACTTTTACCTTTTGTCTTGTTTGACCCTATATAAAGGGTGTTCTCTTGTATTTTTAGAGTAGGATTCTAATTGTAATATCATTTACGTATTGTAAAGTTTGACCAAGAATTCAGATCTTGACTTTCTCTCTCTCTACTCCTTCTAGGATTCTTACATAAAATATCTTTCTGCCATTGTTGTTCTTGAAGCTTTCAAGGAAGATTGATTAAAGTGGACTTACAATTCGTATCAGAGCTGAGTTTGCAATAAATCACAAAGAAGAAATCAGAGTTTTTTTAAGATTTTTCGAAGATAATTTTTCTGGAAATTTTTTGTGTTCTTCGTGTTCTTATTTTTTTTTCTAAAGTTTGATCCGAAATGTTTAAATTTTTTTGTGTTTTCGTGTTAAAAATATGATCAAAATGTGCGGTTTTGAATAGTGAATCGTTGTTATTCACAAGTTTTTTGTGTTTTGATCATTGAGTTTCAAGTTTTGCTAAATTTTGTAGTTCTAAAGTTTTTCGTGTTTTTGAATATTTTTTTTAACTGTGTTTTTGACTCGATCTTTTTAAAATTTTCATTAGTTTTGAGTTTTTGGGTTTAAATCGTTCAAGGCCCATTTTTCAAGCCCATCCGGTTTATTAAAAGCCCATTTTTTTTCTTAACAGATTGTGCGGACTGTTTCATCAGATTTTCTAAATCGCTCCTCTGTCAATCAATTTCATCTTTCTCCAAGTGCTAAATCGATCAATCTAAGTGGACAAGGGACTATCAATTGAGCGATTTAATGTTTAAATCGCTGACCTCTTAATTCAGATTTAGTGTTTACATCGCACACAGTGTAAGCGATTTGGAGTTTATCGCACAGCAGCTTATATCCGATTCTCAATCGAATTTGTGTTTCATGGTTTGGCTAAATCGTTTGATGCTTTGATGACTTGATTGCTTCTTGACCGGATTTCGATTGTAACCTAAATTGCACAGATCTTGTCCGGATAAGGATTAAATCGCACGAGTAGTGATCGGAGTCTGGTAATTCGCTCAGACTAAATCGCTGGTTTATTTCTTAACCGGATTCTATAAATCGCACAAAGGGTCGACTATTTTAAGGTGTTTACTAAATCGCTCAGCTAAAGCGCAATCAAGGGTTCAACAAAATTGTTGACTGGTTTGAGGTTAATCGCACATCATTCAATCATGAGAATCCGGTGAAGATGTTGATTGGAGGGTGAAAGACTATCTACATAAAGTGGATTGAATTCTGGTTTTCCACAGTCAGGCAATGAATCGTGTGATTATTCTGCTGAAGCTATTCGTAGATATACTCCATCTGTAGTTGAAGTTTTTTCTGCTGCAAGGAACCCGACTGCAAAGCGGTTCTCTAGTCAAAAAAATGCAGTGATGGTGAGGGCAATCTCAGTCCTGATGGTCTTGCAGGTTCAGTATTTAGAGGATACATATCAGTATTGTGAAACTTCAGGAGATTTACATCCATCTCTGAAACGGATGAAGATTGAGCAGCCATGTTAGTCACCAGCTGCTGAAAGTAAAACCCCATCATACATGTTATTGGTGCATCTTTATATGCAACAGCAAGAGAGTTGGTTGCTTCTTGAACAATTAGACGAATTGATGGAGACTCTAATTTCAGGGAATTAAAAAGCCGAGCAGACATGTCAATTTTATCTATGAAAAGTTCCGGCAGGCGCTTCGCAAGCAATCCAATTGTATCTGATTCGGAAGCTGTATAACCATCCAAGAACTTCATAACACTACTAAGTATCACGGGATCCATACGTTTGAGCTGATCAACCTTGTTGTGCAGGATTCCCAGGACTGACTCTTGAATCTGGAGCAATATGTTCAGCTCCAACAGTCCCATTGAATAGCAAAAACAACCTGTTTATCAGCTTGGCATATTTTTAGACTCAAAATTGCTCAACCTATCACACAAGACTTTGACCGGATTAGACATGTAAATCCCTGTGATTGCAAAGTACATTTCATTCACAAGTGATACCTTTTCACGCAGGTAAACCTTGGTGTCATCTTTGCCTTGGAGGTCTGTTTGTTTAGTGACAAGAGTCTGCCCAAGCATCTTCCCAGCTATCTCTTCAGCCTGATTAATTTTGATAATGTGAACTCCACCCTGAAGACCACTTGTGAACTTTCCTAGGCTCTGTTGTTTAGTGATAAGAGCTGCTGTTGTTGCCATCTTCAACCATAATTGAAGAATTTTCTTATTTGCCCATTTTGCTGTGTCGAGGACCTACAATTGGCTTGTGGTTGAACTTCACTAAATCGCTTGGAATTCGCTCAAGGCAGTCAACTTCATCGCTTGGCATTTCTCACAGGTTTTGTATCGCTTGATAAAAGATTTGCATAAATCGCAGAATTGGTACTGTCTGATTATTCATAACTATTGGTGGGGAAGGCTCAACAGCTCAAGGGTTAATTGACTTCTCTAAACCTTTGGTTGTTTGAGTTCATAACTTCTATTCACCATTTATCATTTGATTGCTTGCTATGCTTTGAGATGTTAATGGTGAAGAAGACTTCGTCAGGTTTGTGATCATGTTGTGCCACCTACTATTCCTGACTATGCTGGTACCTGACGGTATATTCGTTAAAGGGGTGTGATTTTTCATTGTAATAATCTGCTGTAAATCACACTGTTTGGATTTCAAAGAACTTGTTTGTGTTTGTAAACAGGTTGTCTATCATCTTCATTTTTGGAAGCATCTGTGAGCAGACTGTTGTATATCACACTTGTCCGATTTAAATCAAGTCACACAGTCCATCTCATTTTCTGTTTTTTGGTATCACACACAATCCTGATTCGTCTTCTTTCTTGTCCAGATTCTGTGTAAATTTGTGTTGTCAAGATGAATTTTTACAAGGAACAAAAGCTCTTGCACAACCAATGAGTGAAGTACTTGATTTCTTTTCATTGACTGTCGATAGAATTGGTGCAAGTTGTTCGAGAAGCCTAAAACTATAGCAGCTGTTGATTTTGTCAATAAGCATTGTGTTGTTTGTCAACAGATTATTCATCTTGTGGACAGTTTTGTTTGTTTTGTAAATTCTTATATATATATGTTGTGTAATTTTGGATCTGTTTGTTTTGTTTTGTATTTAAATTATTTGAGAATGCTTAGACTATTTTACGTCGCATAAACTGTTTCTTATCAGTTTTAACTATTTTTAACAGTTTTTAACATTTTTGACTGTTTTTTTAATAGTTTTGATTGTTTTTACTGATTTTAGACAGTTTTTCGTCGTTTTTCTATTTTTTTCAACAGTTTTTGTGTTTTCTGTTTGTATTTTGAGCTTAACTGTTTTTGATTTCTTTTATCTGATTTCATAGCATTTGATCTGGTTAATCAATCTTAATGTTTCTGAAATGGCAACTTTTTATGACAGAGAATACAGAGAGCTTAAAGAAAAATACGATAAACTAAATTCTGAGCTTAACAAGAACATTTTGGGGACAATTCGTCTAACTGACTGTAATGAGAGAGAGAAGGAAGAAAAGAGAGTTTTGCAAGAAAAGCTGAGCGATCTGATGAAAACTGGTTCTAATCCACAAGAGACAGTTAGTTTGAAAAAACAGATCGAAGACTTAACAGCTAAACTGCATAGATCTGAACTGCAAGTTGATTTTTTTTAGAGGAATAAAGTTTTGAAATTGAGAAGGTTTTAAATGCAGAGAGAAAGGAATTGGAGAAAGAAAATAAAAGATTTATTGATTTCGAGAAACGGTTTAGAGCTGAACACATATCTTATGAGGATAAGATAAACTCTCTAGAGCTAAATGCAAAAATGTTGTTAAAGCAAGTTCCTGATTTTGAGCAGCTGATCATCTTGGAACGGGCCAAGAATGATAAATAAAAGAAAGACATCTCAGAAGACTGTCAGAGCCAAATACAGAAATTATCGGAAAGCATTGCTCTAAAGCAGAAAGCTTTAGATGAAGAAAATAAGCAATTTCCTCTTGAGAAGAGAAATACTTCAAAGAAGTATACAACAATTGCTAAAGAGCTTGTTAATAAGAAAAAGTGGCTTGACATCGCTTCCGAGAATTATAAGAGCAGCTCAGATGAAGAAAAAAGAGAGTTAATAAATCAGAGAGAAAGTTTGAAATGCTTCAGAAGGAGTTAGAAGGTAAACTCCTGGATACTACAAGCAAATTGTCTGATTTGATGACTGACCTTGAAACTGAGCAGAAGATGAGAAGATAACTTAAAATTATGTATGATTTAGTTACTGTGGAAAGAGACCGGCTTGTACAGAAAGTCAAAGATTTTTCTTGTGCACAAAGCTCAACTGTTTCTCCTTCTCAGTGTAAAACCAACTTCTATGATTGTTCCAAATCGAACAGTTATTCAAGAAGCCCTAAATCAACTATTTCTAAGAACTATTCTCGTTCTTCTAATCAGTATTATCAAGGGTATGTTATTGGATCACCCAATTATTCTTCTAAGATCTAAAGCATTTGGGTTAGTAAATTTAGATTTGTTTCAACATGTACTCCTGTTTCTACTAATAATATTCCTTGTTTTGTGAGATCCAATACTGATTTGATTCATCTTAGCAAGAGAAGAATCATGTGCTCCACATGCAAATCAACAGATTTTGTAAACAAGAAGACATACAACAGATGGAGTACAGACAACAGATATTAGAAAGATTGGAAATGTAAGAACATGTATGATCACAATAACTGGTATGGATCATATTGTGTATCTGATCATCCTATTCAAAGTGCTAAAAAGAAGATATCAAATAGAAATAGATGGTTTGGAAGTTACAACATACCTCATCCCGATTCTAACAAAATAGGACCCAAATTCATTTGGGTACCAAAATCTATTTAATCTGGTTTTGCAGGTGTGTCAAGTTTGTGCTGATCAGAAAATCATTTATTTGATACACTAATGCAGGGGGAGTTGTACATTGTCTAACAAAGGCTTCTGAATAATTCATATCAGGACCCGTGCTTTACAGAGTGTGGTTTCTAAACACTCAGTTTAGGACCCGTGCTTAAAATGTTTTCTTATTTTTTTTTTAATTTTTGAGCTTAATCGAAATATTTCTATAATCTACTTTCTAGGGGGAGTCTCTAGAAGTTCAATAAATGTTTTCGGGAAGTGAATAATTTTTTTTAAAAACGAGTACATTTTCTGAACAGATATTTCATGAGATTTTACTTACGTAATTTCTCATCGTACATAACTCCAATACCTGTTTCGGCTATTCTTCAAACCGTTATTATCACGTCTCTTATATATAAATCTTTTTCGGTGATAATACACTCTTTTGTATTCAAAGGTTTGTTTTTCAATTTCTTTTTACCTTGAATGATATACATTTTTTTATCTGAATCTGTAAACTTGTTCTTACAGATCTTCATTCATTTCTCTCACATACCGAATAATCTGATCATTGTCGCATCACTCCTTCATTAATTATGCTTAAAAGCCAAATATCTTGATCATTTTTTATCTGATCATTGTGCTTTATTTGCAACAATAATTTTGATCAATTGTTGTGATTATTTGAAAATAAAATGTAATTTTAAGAGAAAGTTGATATTGAATCAGAAGGATATATGTCCCCCCTTCAAGTCTTTTTGATCACTAATTGAGTCTGATAAATTTGTGTAGTCCACACAGTTTATCTTTTTGAGCCTAAACAGAAGGATACGTTGTTTTATCTTTCTACACTACATAGATGTTGCATTTTATATGTTATTATGCCAAAACATTCATAGATATGCAATTTTTAAGCTATAGATGATTGAATGGAAGACCTGGTGAGATGAGCCTCAAAAAGTCTCATATATACAGTACATTCGTTGTACTGAGTATATTTGTTATACTCACAGCCCAATCTTTCTATAAGATTGAAAAAACAATTTCATACGTTGAAATTGGCTGTTATCTTCCCATTCCTTTAATCTGAAAAGATTATATAAGTGGATTTGAAAAGATCTACTTACTATTTCTTGAATTGACAGCTTACGCGGAGGATTTCATTCATTCTTATGTATGATGTAATGATTCTCATTTCATCATAAGGGGGAGTATGAAATAATGAATGAAATGTCCAATTCTGATCATTATAAGGGGAATTTGATGTAAAGATTAAGGGGGAGTAACTTTAAAGATGACAAAAGACTCAAAAGGAGTGTGACTGGAGATGATTACAAAAGATTATTCCTATGCTAAAATGACTGAAAGTTTTTGAATGTGAAGATCCATTTTACAACAGTTTGCTGATGAAGACTACTGATAACTCTCATTTTGTGAGAGTTATTTGTTGTTCTTTACCCCTATTTTATTGTATCTTTGGTACCCATTTTGCTCTTATCCTATATTTTTGGTCCAAATTATGTAAAGAGGTTATGAAAGGTTTAGAATTTAATTATTTTCTAAAAAACTCATTATTGTTGGTAAATTTTGCATCTAGTTGGATTTGAACAAAMTTATGATATTCATATTCTTGGATATTATTGGGAGTTAATGCTAAGTTCAAATCTAAATATTTGGTTGCATGGAAGATTGGACCCGGTTATGAGATGAGAAGACTTGAAAGAGTTTTTACTTTTACTATGATGGAATGGCTTTCCTATCATATTTAATGGTAGTACTTTTCACCCTTTGCAACCTATCAATGAGGAGGTGACTTGGTCAAGGATTGAAGTAGACTTGTAGTGATGGGTGGTCATTATCAATTGGACAAAGAGTACCCGGGTCCCACCTTTCTTCTATATATTTGAAGGACTTCTCTCAAGCAAAGCATCCACTTTTCCACCAGCAACTTAGCTAAGCAACCTTGGAGTATTATCTTAAGCTTTGTAGCAGTAGAACTAGTTTAATTTCAGTTTGTAATTTAATTTTCGTAGTTCATCTTTTATTCTCGCCACTATATTGTGTGCTCTCTATGGGCACCAGTAAGTATTTATTTTCAGTTCAAGTATTTCTTATGCATTCTTCTTCTTCTATTTCTGTTATGTTTTCTAATTTCATTATGAGCTAAGCACCCCTTTGGGTGTGGGTGTGAGTCCAACTTAAGGATTTAAGGGCACACTTGGGTGTTGCCATTTTTATTGATTCTTAAGCTTGGTCATTTAAGTCGGGWYGTAAAYTCAAYGCGGATAAGCTGATCACTTTAAAGTGTTAATATTAGATCCTTGATCCAGAGATRGGCGGA